AACATATGAACAGGAGGAGCTGGGAATAGGACCCATTAATTAGTGGACTGCTCATTTTAGCTGAGTCACATGCTCAACTCTTCTGAGGCTCTGTTACTTGCTCCTTTCCCAAAGAGTATTAGAATAAAATGTTTGCAGTGATCTGACTCAGAGTTCTACTTATGATAAGCGATGCTGAAGTCTGGATGCACCCCCAGGCAGCAGCAGAGGTAGTGGACATTAGCCTTGACCACCGTTTACAGCTTGAGTGGCAGTTCATGCCCACAAATCTCATGAGACATTTCAAAAATAAACTGCCTGATAAATAACACTGATTCCCCTCTCGCTTCCATTTAGTAACAGCAGTTTAGACGATTGTAGAGTCTGTCCTGCAAAGCGGGAAAAATTTCCTATTGTGAATTCAGTCACTAACTTCATTACCTGTGCAGCATGTCCTGTATTAACCTTCATTTATCTTCTGTCAGTGTGGCCGAGCGCGTGTTGCTTTCTCGGTAGCATTCTTTCATTTTCCTGTTGTCTGGCAGACATGAGATATCCAGAACAATCTGTTGACAACTGGCTGACCACCTTCTTGTTTTTTCTGTAATTATTCATAATAGCTAGTATGGGTAGTTTAAAGGGCCACTACACTATACATACAGTACTGCAGATATAAAAAGCAAACTTAAAATAAAACCAAGTCCAAACATTTTTTTAAATTACTTTTACAGTGGTTGACAGCTGCACTAACCTGAAAATCTAAAGACCTCACCTGTGCTGTAATGAAGTTGGATGTTTGTCATATACATGTATCATGAGTAGCTTTGTTGTTACTGTCAGATGCATTTTGTCTATATGACTGGTTTAGCTAGAAGGTATTTTTCTCTACACACACACACACACAGACACACAGTTTTATAGCCTTTGGCTTTATGGCAGGTTCTTTTCCTCCTGCAGGGGAGTGAGCTTGTAGGAGTGCTGATAAAGAACTTTGATGTGTATTTTAAAGAAGAAAATCATGAAGTCTCAGGCCTCCGACAGGGGCTGCTCTGTTGAAATCTTGCACAGGAATGGGTTGTTATGGTGACTCTAGCATCCTTGTGCCTGCTCTCTCTCAGGGGAAAATGAAGAATACAGGAAAACAAATATACAGTATATTTTCCACTTGTAAATCAACAAGAAGAACGTGAAGAAACAACATTTGCACTGATAACATCTTGCTGATTCACTGGCCATGTGGTGCGATGAGTGCATAGATGCTACATGGTCGGCAGTCAGGCGAGCTGACGATGCTGCAGCTTCCACCCAGCTAATCAAGATTCAGCTGCAAAATGGATTCTGGTGATGATGCACCACAGCCTAGGGAGCAGAGAGATGGTCTACTGTATCACTATGATACACTGGAAACAGATGCATTTTAGCAAAGGAAAGGATGAGACCAAGTTAGTCTGTCAGACAAAAGAGAATTTCTTGATTAAATGATCCTGACTTTTCTTCTAGAGCCACCAAAAGGTTTGCATTTGTAAATCTGAGTGAAATGTCTCAACAACTATTGAATGGATAACCATAAAATGTGCTACAGACATTCAAGTCCTTCTAAAGCTGAACTGCAATAACATTTGTGATCCTTTGTTTCATCTAGTGCTGTCAAATTAGATTATGACCAAATATGAAATTTATGTCTCAGTGTTTTGATATTTAGTTACCTTATCACACTGAACATGATATAAATTATTCCAGCTTAAAATCAGCATCTTAATATTACCCCTGCTAGTGTGTTAGCATGCTGACGTTAGCAGTCAGCTTCACTCCGCTGCTAGCGCTGTAGGTATAGGCTCTTATTTACTCCTGTACTTCAGTTCATTTGGTCCAGAGCACAGGGGAAAAATATATACTCTGCTGCATTTTAATGTCTCTTTAGTTCCTATTTACACTGACTTTTTTATATATATGAAGCATGGAGTAAACATGAAGTCATATACTGTAAACTGAAAGTAACATGAGCTGAAAACCATTGTAAAAGTCAGATTAATACATCAGTAAATCACTTAGAGCCAAAACTGACCTTAGCAAATGATCCCACTCTGACTCAAATCTCCAGTAAAAATGAATTAATGCACTAAGCATCAGCAGTCAGCCATTAAAGAATCAGATGTCAGCACTGATCAAGCAAAAATGCCAAGACGTCAGCAAAACATGAAATTAAAACAATGTAAAATCGATAAAATGTAATAAAACAGCAAAAAGATACGAAGATAATGATAAATATTATAAATGTGCAGAAGTAACCATCTCTGGAACACAATCAGTCTCACTGCTGCTGATGTGGGTGTACATGTGATAGAAGCATTAAATGTAGACCCGAGTTAATCAGCAAAAACCACCAAGTAATCAAGACGACAATGTGCAGTACCTCTGACTTAGTCGATAAACGCCAATTATCAAATCAAATTTTCTTCCATTTACAAACTAAACAGAAACTTCAAATCAAAAAAGTCAGATAGAAAGAAAAGAAAGTCTCAGGTAAATCTCAGACAGAAATTTTACCAGGAAGTCCCACTGAGATCAAACTCTTCTCACTTTTATCAAGTTGGAAACATGCTTTTCTAATATTTAAGGTGAACATAAAAATCTATTCTGCATCTTTTGAATTGCAGTTTCAGTGAATAGTCAAACATTTCTCTCTTTACTTACCTAAACATTGAAAGCTTTTTTTCGGCTCTTTTAACCAGTGGAACTCAGAGAGACGAAGCGGACCACTTGGATATATAAAAAAACCGTGCTGGTTTATTCAAAGAATCACAGGCAAAATTAACATTACACATCCAGGTATCTTCCACCTCCAATACTGAGCGCAGGCAGATGAAGAATGAAAAGACCCTGAACCACAATAGGCCTATACATTTATCACTTCGGTTGGGCTAGCCCCATACTACACAGGGACGTCAAACCGTGGCGTCACCTGATATGCCAGCTTTACAGCTGACCATAGCAGTAGTCAAAACATGGAGAGAATCAATGTGTGTGAGTGTTGATTAAGTGGTGTGTATCTAAGAACATTCTGACATGACATCTAGTGACATGTCATGACATTAAACATAAGAAAATATTATGAGTACAATTACGGTTAAACATATAATAATAATAATCATCCTGCCTGCTGACAATCAAACTTTTTCTATCTAGTTATCCTTGACCATATGCACCCTGCAAAACTCATGAGAATGACTAAGCATTTAAACTAGACATCCTGTCTCCACTAAACATTTCTAATACAACAAGTATCTAACCAATTTCTATCTGACTAAAAAATACCTAACAACATCAAAGCCGTCTGTACACTGAATGTGGTTTAGATATGATTGGAATGTTTTTATGGAGCCGGTAGAAAGTTAGGCTTAAGTTATTTGTCATTCACATTCTGGACAATGCTTTTGTGCAAAATAATACATTTTGACTCCCAGTGGAGCACAATGGTGTAACCTAGAGGTATCCAGATACCCAATATTTCTTTTTCTCTCTTTACACAGCTGATGCTAGAAACCATAAAGGGGTCTGCAAGCATGTGAGGTGAATTCTCTGTGACTGTTATACGTGTACCCCACTGAAAGTGCAGCGCCAAAATGTGGCAGGAACATCCTAGTGACATTTTCTTCCATTGTGCCAAATAAATGATGTGATGTATCTGGGGTCAAGATGACACTGGAAACGGGAGTGAATGCTGAGTCACTGCATTTTTATTTTTGTAACAAATTTCACATTTCATTCAGCTTTGTGCAAAGATCACATCCCTTACTGCATAAAATGAATACTTTCCTGTATTACAGCAGCATATACAAACAATCTTAGTTTCAATGCACCCTTCAAAACAAGCTAAACAAAAAATATGCCACATATTTTCAGCCAATACAACCTTGAAGTCTGTTAAAGTATCAATTTGTCACAGTGATGCCTCTAAAGTAATGTTGAATCTAGATTTAGATGAACTTTGTCTTGGACATGCATACAGCACCAGCTGTTACAAAATCAAAATATAATCAACATACATTACTCACACAGCACCTACACTACCTTATATAGTATCGCTGAACATTATACAACAATTATAAACAAAAAATCCTCAGTGCAATACCTGGAAATATACATTGTACAGATTATACAGATATGTACAGGTCTCTATTTTTATTCCTATTTATCTCGTTTCCTAATGAACATTCCTTTGTCTGTCTGCATTGTTTACTGCCTGCTCATACTGTTCATTTTGTTATACTACACAGCCTTATGTTGGTTTATTGTTTACTTGCCCCTTGCGGGGATATGTACATGCACATTGAGCGCCGCTGTGCCAGAGTCAAATTCCTTGTGTCCAATACACCTGGCCAATAAAGCTGATTCTGATAAGCATTTAAAAAGTATTACAGGGAATGTTATGTCTTAACTAACTTGCCTTTCAAAGCCTTAATAGACATGGGGGCAAAATAATTTTTAAACCGTTTAAGTCTGCACAAACAGACTAAAGCGTGTGTCTGAAGGCAGGAGCTGATAGGAGGGAGAAATCCTCTGGTCCTGTCTGATAATCATTTCACTCAATTTTCAATGCTGGTTAAAGCCGCAATCAAACCACCGAGAAGAGATTTATTTTCCAGAGTTACAAATGTTTTATTTAATTCAGATTCAGCATAATGAAAAGCTATGTGGGAACTGTCCTCACACACTGTGCTACATCTTTCTTCCGCACTAAATATTCAGGTCTGGTTCACATGAGCAACTATGGTTTGTCAGTGGTATTATTTTTGTACCTTTTTGTTATATACACCAAGTATGGTTGTTTTCAAGTAAGAGGTTTTTTTTCTGGCAAAGCAGAGTCAGCAAATGAGTTTGTGTTTTGTATTGTTTTGTTTACCAGGTAAAGCACTTCAGTCATATTTTAGTTGTTTTTAAGTGCTAAGTAAATAAAGGTTGAGTCCTTGTGTGCAGGGCAAAGCCTGCACCTCAGAGGAACACTCACAAACACCTGTTACTCGGGTGGCATTATTATTTATTGAAGTGGCAGCAGCAATTCACAGGATGCAGTGGTCAAGCAAACGCCACCATATCGGCACATTACTCAAATTCCAGGCAAAGTTTTACATTGTTTTTCTTCTGAGCTTAAAAATGTTAAGTTTAAAAGCCATATATAATTAAGGCAAAGCCAAAAACAGCATTTAGACTGTTTACATCAGCTTCTGAAATACTGTCACAGAGAATATGGTTGCTCTTTACATCACAGTGCAACGATTTAAGGCAAGGATAAAAAGCAACAAGTTACCCATCACATATAAAAAAAAATATAACCTGTTGCGTTACACAAACATTAAGACAAAATGCCTTTTTTACAGTCACATATACATGCCGAGACGGAGAGCTCAGCAGTTTCAATGCCATGTCTGGCATCGGCTTTTTTTGTCCTCACCCCTTCAAACCCAGTGAGTGATTCTTCACCTGTAAAATCCAATGTTTTAAACAAGTCGGAAAATCTCATAAGCATCAGAAAACAATGTGTGGTTAACATGCTGAGCAACAAAGAACAGAAATGTGGCAGTTTGTATTTGCACCCAGTTTAATCTTTGTACTTGTCTTTTTGACAGCAGCTTGGGAAATGACATAGAACACCTCTTTTCAACAGACCAGCCAGTTTGAACCGAACCATTTCCAAACACAGTTGACTTCTACATTGGCAGCTTTACCTCTATTTATGTAAAATACAGGCTGATCGAACTGTTTAGATGAGCAGGATGTTCCTTCATCTCCTCTGGCATAGCATACATGAGGGAATTCAGCAGGTAGTAATGGCTTTCTCCTCATCACTGTATCTTAGTAAAACTATGAGGATTACATTCTCAAGCAGAGGTAGTCTGTCATATATTATGTCACTCTGTTAAATATCCAGTAAACCATATAAAGTACCATTTATGTTCTGTGGTGCAGCAGCTGTGCATTTAAGTGCTATAATTTTTGTAGACATCAAATCTTTATAAAAAAATCTGACTATTTTCTTTAACACAGAACAAGAAAGGCGAGTTGTGTTAAACCACATTTTGTGCATTGGTTCAAACACATTCTGGTCATATTTAATTTAAATTGCACTTTAGACGCACTGACTGCAAAACACAGCATAACAGAACTGCAATACTTTATGTTACAGGGTGTTTGTAAACCTACCTCTTTCAACAACCTGACTCACAAAACCTGAGGCGAGCGCCCTACTTATGAACCGTTTACAGCCGACTGCGAGAGCAGAGTCTGCCCACAGTGATGACAAATAACCTGCAGATTGTGGCTGTGCTGACGTTTAACGGGCAGCTCACACACACAGGAGAGTATGTGAGCAGCAGAAAATCTCTTTGAAGGTTTTTCTCATTTCTTGGCTGCGAAAAGCATAGATGATGGGGTCAATGATGGAGTTGCACATGATGAGAATGAGGTACATGTTGAAGTGGGACATGAAGCAGGCGCAGTACGGATTTGTGGGGCAGGTGATCATGAGAATGAGATGAAGGAAAAATGGTGCCCAGCATACCACAAACACCCCGAGGAGGATAGTGAGGGTGATGGCGCCCTTCATGTTGGCTCGCTGCTGGATGGGCGCGTTTCCTGGTAGCGCCGCAATCCGCTTCATGTGCAAGCGTGCCAACAGGAACATGTGGACATACAGTGATGCCATGAGCAACAGCATGGTGAAGAACATGGTGATGAGGCAGATGAGCACCGTGGTGCTCTCCGAGTAGATGATGAACAAAATGCCAGACATGGTGCAGGAGGTCCAGATGCTGCTGATGACAAACATCGCTCTTCGCAGAGTGACAATATTGTGGTATCGCAGAGCGTAGAATATGGTGATGTAGCGGTCAACGGCGATGGCCAACAAGCTGCAGATGGATGCTAACAGAGAGCTACAGATCATAGAGTCAAACACATTATCCATGCTTCTAATCAGCGTGACGGGGATGGTGAGGCTGCCTCCATTGATAAGTGCTATGACAATAGTCTCGGAGGCATTGGAGACACTGACCAGCATGTCAGCAATAGCAAGGCTACAAATGAAAAAGTACATAGGTGAGTGAAGGTTCTTGTTTATGATTATAGCAGCAACAACCAAGATGTTCTCCAGCAGGCTGATGATGCCCAGAGTGAGGAAAACCTCGGTGGAAATCAGCAGCTGTCCGTAACATCCTGCAGATGGGTCCTTCTCAGCTGAGAGGTCCTTGTGAAGTGGCACCGTGCCTGGGGGTTGGCTCTTGTTGTGGTAGCCTTGGCTCAGCCCATGGTATTCTGTGGTGTTCATCGTCTCCTTTGAAGTTGTCTTCTTTGATTGAGTCTTGTTTTGTCTTAAAATCTCAGCTTTGTGTGGCTTTCAGTGCTCCTCATTATCTGCAGCACGGCCTTGGCACTTCTGACGGGAATGAAAAATTCTTTTCCACTGTTCCTTCTTCCCTTCAAGGCAGTTTTCTTCAAACATCTGCTGCAGTTGTTACTCAGCCAAAAACAAGCTGACGTTCTCGTCTCATCTCTCAACTCTGGAGCGAAACAATGTGTAGTAAGAAGTTAAAATAAATGTTCCCTAAAAAGACAGGAGAAACACAAGTGGAAGGAGCGAGGCAGAAACAAAAGGTGCGTGCAGGAAGGACAATGTGTGAAGCTGATTAACAGTGAAAGGGAACGTGAGAGATGGAGAGAGCCGAGCGCAGCAGCTCGCTGAGCTGGCACAGGCAGATTATCACTCTGCAGGCTACTGTGGTCTCCCCTCTCTTTCAGTGTTATTATATCAGGAACACACACAGATCCCCCCACACACACACACACACACAAACACCCGCCCCTGTAGTCAGATATCCTATTGGTTCGCTGAGAAGTTGAGAGGAGGAGCAAAGTTTGATGATGCACAAGAGCAAATTTAAACATGAATGGGTTTAAGAAACTTGATTTTCTGAATAAAGGGGGATTTCATGCTTTAACTTGTTATTTAAACTTGAAATGCTAAGTTGATATATGAAATAAAATGACAGGTTTTCACTCAACAGTGAAAACATCAGATATAGTGAATGATGAGCTGTAGTAGAGAGATGCAGTGTCAGGGTAGCGAAGCCATCTGCACCCTATAGCTTTCAACTAGTGGCATGGAGCTGAAGCCAATCCCAGCTGACACTGGGTGAGAGGTGGGGTCCACCCTGGACAGGTCACCAGCCTATCACAGGGCTGACATGTAGACAAACAACCCCACACACTGACACTCACTACGAGCAATTTAGAGTCACCAGTCAACATAAGCTGCATGTCTTTGGACTGCAGGAGGAAGCTGGAGTAGCTGAAGAGAACCCACGCTGGCACAGAGAAAACATGCAGACTCAAATCCAGAACCTTCTTGCTGTGAGGCGACACCGCTAACCACCACAACCCCGTGCCACCCTTAAAAGAAACAAAGCCAATTAATTATACTGGGGAGCTGGTATCAAACTGTATGATCCTGACCCATATAGTTAAGAGGCCCTGAACAGGAGGAACTACAATTTACTAAACAGAATTAAATACATGACTCCACCTTCAAAATAATAGCTAAATACTAAACACATTTAAATGCCGAGCTTTAGACCCACTACTGTATTTTGTGTATTAAAAGCATATTGAATAAACAGAAATACGAAGGCATGAGCAGCTGATAGTCAAGTATAACTCTCTCGTAACAGTGCAAATAAACTGCTAATCACTCTGAAGTCAATGTACAGCAGCAGCTCTGAGTAATACTGAGTAGACTTATTATAATATTAGAGCTTCAGCTGCACCTATGCTTTTGGGTGAAGTGTACATTTAGAGAAAAATGCTTCACTTAATTGACATCTGAAGAATCTAATCAGCTTAATGCACGAAAGGAAGGTACAGTACGAACACCAAAGGAGAGTGCAGCCAAGGCCATTTCTTCTCTTAATGAAATGCCTTTTAAAAGCTGTTACCATGGTAAAGGTGCAGAGTGAGTTGGTGGATTAAAACAATCTGTAGCTGTATTTCTGGAATGAAAATCAATCCCCAAAAATTTGCTTTTCTCCTTATCTTTGAACTTTACACAGCACTCACCAAATGTCCATGTTAATTACAATGAAATTTTACTTAGAAATACAGTTTAACAACAAAAGACGGAGGCAACACTGTTTTACCGACCTTTACTCTCCAAGCAAGTTAATGGTAGTTTTTTCAAAAGTAAATCGTGGATAATCTGGTTACTGCCAGGAGCCACATGTTTGCTTCGAGTAGCGGTGCAGCCCTACATCCTGTAGCACTTAAAGCAGCAACAGCAACATACTGTGTATATACTCTACAGCTGACAGTGTTCACGTTCCTGCATCAACACTTTTATTGTCTTCATTAAAAATGGCAGCAGACTGGGAGATTACAATAATAAAGATAAGCATGTTTTGTGGTTGTTTTAATGGCCA